AGTCTGATGTATGTTGTAAACTAAAACCACTAATGAATGATTTGTTCTGTTTTCATACTTTGAAGACTACTAAAAAACACCTCCTTCATGATGAAAATAATTACTCAAAACGTAAAACAAAATGTCTCTTTAATTGTAAGTGTCAACAGCAGTACAAAAGATGGAGTGATGTGAGAAGCTTTCTGCAACACAATTTCTGTCTCTTTTACAGAAAAGGAGGAGATTCTTGAGGTAAATGAGCTAAAACAGGCAGTTAGTCAGCCTACTGTATTGATGCAGTAAGCCGAAACACACAGAAAACAAAGTTCTAAGATGTCTCAAGTGATCCTGTGGGGATAGTTTAATAATTTACAGTATACACATTGCTTTGGTGCCAGGATGCACCCACATGTGTCAATCATTGGTTTGTTTTTACTTGATATAGTGTATTAATACTACCAAAGGCATGGAGAGGGTTCTCCGCACACACCAATGTAAAATTGTTCACCTTAAGTTTACCTCACGTCAATACTGCACATGGAAACCAAAGACTTGCCGTAATACACTTTTAAGCCAAGCAAAACAAAACAAAACGGAAAATAAATCAATTAACAGCTTCTTTTTTTTGTTTTAAAAATTTTGAAGAAAATAAGCTTGCAAATAATTGACCTTTGCTTTGTATAAAGAAGAATGTGAACACAAATGTGATGGCAACAGTTTTTTAAGTTGAATTAAAAACTTTACATTGGACTGTACAAGATATTATGATAAACTATTTACATATTCAGACATAAACTTTTTTTTTAAAGCAGCAACAGACACTATGTATTTCATTTCTCTATTGACAACCAAAACTTTACCTACGTACCTGCCAGGAAAGGGGAAAAGGGATTTCTATGCAGAAAACAGTTTCAGGCTGCCAGCAAATTTCAAAACAGGGGCTCCAGTGACAGAAGAGCCTCACACAGTGTTGCTTGAAAAGACAACTCTAAAAAGCAGAGTACCAAAGGCAACTAAAAATGTTGCCCTGAACAACAAATTTTACACTTCTGAACAGCAGCTAGCATGTCAGTCCAGCATGTCAGTGAATTGTGCTGATTAAATTAACACAGAGAACATTCCCACCATATACATCACAAAGTTCAGACAGAAAAAAAGTCAAATTACAGTAATGTTGAAACAGCACTGAAGCTTTTGTCCTCAGTTCATTCAAACCATTTGCAAAAAAACATAAACAAATTGTGAGGGCTACATTTGCAGACGGCCGAATAGTCGTTGACTTGTTCATTAAAAATTGGCAGCATATAAAAAGATGGCCAAGTGAGAGTGAACTAAGAGAATGAACAATAAATGAGCAGTTTGCCACATGAAAACAAATAAATAGTTGCACACTCCCTCAAGTAACATCACTTGTATTGGAAACAGTCATTTGAGAAAAGGAAACAAAATCAAAACAGGACAGCTTTGATTATTCTAATAATGTCAATTCAAGCTGTATGCATGCAGATATTTTCAGATTATACCATCTGCTTATGGGCAAAATTTGACACAAACTATGAGTACTCTAGAAACACAAGACACAAGTGAAGACACGCAGCATACCGCTTAGATTGTATTATGACTGGAAACAAAATCATGGGCTAATCGATTGAATGGTGCCTTACTTATTCATGAGTCTGATGAGGATATTTTTTTTGTTGAGTTGCATAATTAACTTAAGCAAGTGATGTGTTTCTTTCTGTTTTGGGACCAAAACTGTTCTTTTCCAATAAGCAGAAAAAGTCAACATCTACATGAGGTACAGTGACTTGTCAGGTGTTAAAACACATACAGAAATAATACATGAAAGAGAGAATAAAATAAAACAGGCAAGTACATAACTTAACCTATGAACAAAAATATATTTACTATGTTATATTTACAATAAAATTCAAATGAGATGGTAAGTCCACTGAAAACCATGTTTAGCTCCAATTGATCACTTTTTCTTTTGTTTATTTCTCTGATTGTCCATGTTGTTGTTTTATTGACAATTTTAAAGCCAGCAGTGGCTGATAATAAATACAATATGTTGATACTCTACAGCTTGAAATACAATATACAAAGCACTGAAGTCTGGTGTTTCACGGCTCTCTGAGCCTGCTGTTGAAATGTCTGCTCACTTTCTTGTGCTGAGTCTCTTCCCATGGCAGCCCTGAAGCTTAAACAAAGTGTTCATTCATCACACATGTCTTTGCATAAATACACAAAATAAGAAGACAAACAAACTAGCAAACAAAAAACAAAGACCCAAATCTGGTAACTTTGACAGCAAACCCGCTTGAGTCCTGCCGGGGGAATTGTGTTCATTCATGGTGTTTTTCCTCAAACAGCTTCACATTAATCAGAATCGATAAAAATACAATTTATATCCAGTGCTTACAATACTTTTGAAACATTGTCTCTTTGTGAGTTCGTGTTGTTTTTTTTCATACTTTTTTCTTTTTTATGTGTTTTTTGCTCTATAAGCACAGTCAAGTTTCAGTTCCATGAAGAGTCCTTTTTTTTTTTTACCTCCAGCCCACTAAAGCAGTGTGGCATAGTCAGGAAATTATTTACAATCACATACAAAGCAATCTAACCACCAGCAAAAGGGAGCAAACTGTTTAAAAATACCAAACTGATTGACTTGGAGGGAATACCTTATAATTTTGTTCATCGAGAGTAACCCTAATCTGTTTTGAAACTCAAAATAATAGAAAATTAAAAACAATACAATGGAAAAAAAATAGAAAAGGAATTATCAGTGAGGTGATTAAAAAAAATAAAACATAAATGAAAGATGTATAAATGGTTCCAAAAGTTGAAATGATGCAAATCAGCTCTGAATGGGTGCTGACAATTTGAATGCAGAAGATGAGAGTGCTACGGAGCTACAAAGAGCCATCTGTACAAATAAGAGCCAGGAGAAAAATGCAGTGACCAGCAGTGGTGATCTTGACCAGTTAAAGCCAGTGACCAGCCATTCAGATCCTTCAAAAAGCTTCTGTGCACCGCACTCTGCACAGGTTCAAGGGCAAGGGAAGGGAATAGCTGGACTCATGCATTAATAATGCTGTATTTCAGATGATACCCAGTCGTCAGTCATTTTAATAATCCCCCACAGCTTGATGTACTTGTTCCATCTGCTCACCAGTGCCTGGTGATTGGGCCAGGGTGGGAGCCCTGTTGAAGCCTTGCTTCCAGCACTTTGATGAAGAGCACAATGAGGGACACACACCCCATTTTTATTGTTTTCCACCCTTCCCCGCTGCTTTCCCCTTCTCTGAGCCAGATGGCGCCCCCTGGGTGCTGAGGTTGCCACAGACTGGGGTCAGAGCAGGGCATGGCAGGGAGGAGAGCCATTTAGACCTTCTGCCCCGTAGAGGATCTGAATCTCAACATCAAGGCCCTGACTGCCAAAGTTATTTTATGAAGCTGCAGTCTGCAGAAGGTTACCGCTTCTTTGACAGAATTTCTCGTGTCCGTTTGTGGTCATTGTGTTTTTTTCTTTTTATGTAAGTGATGATAATAATCCAAAATCTTATTAAAGAATAAGAAAAAGCTAAATAACTTCAAAAGGGAGCGCACTGATGGAACTATCAGTTTTTTAAGACACCTTTGTCATATGTACAGAATGAGGTAACATGACTTTTCTCTTTGTTAGGGGACATCCTGGCAAACTCATTCTTTTGAAGAGGACTTCAGTAATCACTGCATCAACCCAATCACTGGGCTGCGCTTTAAGACTTCTTAGTGTCAGTTAAAGATTTACAATGTTAAGAAAAATTACATTTTAAGACCTAAGACCCTAAACATGTCATCCAAATGGGGCTAAAGTGTTTAACAGAATGTACTGTAGCTTTACAACTACACATTGTACAACATCAATTTGAGATTGTAATACCACCAAAGCTGACTTTTGCTGCAGTTCCAATCTCACAGATTGGAGGCCTTTGGCCGTTCAGCATTCTGACCTGATTACAATCAGTCTGATTAAGATCTTGGTGAGTCAGACTGGTTTGCGGGGCTGGATATAAGTGAAGGATGCCACAGTGCTACGTTTGGATTTGGATGAGGAAATGAAAAGGCTGGCCTGTGCCATTGAGGATCACTGCATTGGCCTCCATGGAATACAGCTACCAAAGCTTCCATCGCCAGATGTAACATATTGTAACCTCCTGCAGAGTTTGCTGCCTCTGTGTTCCTGAGTTTCATTAGTTTATTCTATTTGACTAAATTAAAGAAAGACTGGATAATGAAGCTGCGTTAAGAGATGAAGAGATTGTCTAAGACTTACAAAGCCTCTCCCAAAAGACTTCACAGGTTTTAGAGACAACTTGAAATGTTTGGCACTTTCACACTGAATATGAAGTTTTGTCCAAAAATAAAACGAGAATAAACTCTAAAATAATAATAATAATAACAATAATAATAATAATTTGAGTACCGTCAGTAATAGATTGGAAGTGCTCCATATTCATTTGTTTATATTGTAATGGTAATATCTTTTTTCTCTTGATTGAAAACATTCACAAGCTGTTGGCTGGCACACTATACCTGAGTGAGAATGTTCTTCTCATCTTGAGCAGTTAGATAATGTAGCAAAAATCATGAAGTTGAGGAAGAAAATAAAGTAACTGTAAGAATTATAGGTTAATATCAAATATTTAGTTTCAAGTTCCATCTTTTGCTTTAGGCAATAAACTAATTGTGTATAAATGTTCATGATATCAATGAAAAATAAACAATGATTAAAAAAAAGCATGTATAAATTATCACTACCAAAATGTGTCACACACTCGAAGAAACACTTAAGACCAAATAGCTTTTGAATCTGATGAAGCCACAGCTGCATGCTGGCTTCCACATGATACGTCATTTTGTTGTTTTTTTGTACATTTTCAAACCATTGCAGTTTTTATTTTATTTTATTCTTTCCCTCCATTTGGATCAAACCAATCCCTCTGGGCAAGTATTCTGTCTCTTGAATTAAAGAGGTTTCAGTTGGCGCTGACCGTCTCTTGTGTGTCATTTTCACTGCTATAGTCTGATTTGGGTTCATCCTCAAAGTCTTCGTACATGTCCATCTCATCCTCGCCATTGACTTGCTCACTGTTGTTCGCCATGGTGTTGGGCTCTAACTTCATGTTGTAGGTGCTCTGAATAACAGGAATGGACGGCTCAGGACTCGCTGAGGCACTTGAGCACTCCGAAGTCATCTGTGGTGAGGGTGTGGTAGTTGCCATGGTTATGGCTCCAGGGTAGACCATACTGGCGCTGGTGGTGATGGGAATCTGAGGTGGCTGCCTGGAGAAGTGAAAAGACAATAAAACTACACTTATTCACATTTCTTTATACAGATGTTATACACATATATTATTTGAACAAGGGCTACAGATGGAAAGAGTATTAAAGGTAGCTTCTACACGTCTTGAATCTTAAATACATTCACTTTTGCTTAAGCATTTCTTTGAGAGGAACAGATTAAAGCTTTCCAACAGCAGTCTGCGTCCAGCCAGCAGCTCTGTGAAAATGATTTGGGAGAAGAGAGGTTCTCTTGACAGCTCCCGTTTTGAACTGCTCAGATACACTACCCAGTTTATTGGTGACATAAAACCAATACGTGGTTAGTGCTGCGCTTGTCTGCTGTTGCGCCGCATGATTGATACTCCAGCCACTGAAGCTTATGACTGACATGGGAACACCTGGAGAAGGGTTATCCTGCTAACCACACACAGTAAATTAAAGTGTTAAGCTTCAGACTGCTGCCCTCCAGGCTTCTGTAAGCATACACTTACAAATTATATCCTGTAATAATGTCTGCACTCCATACTCCATTTAAAGACTGCTATTGTGCAAAATTATTAAATCACAGCTATTGAATAACTATTGATTTTAAAGTGCATGTCAAGCCCCTGTCTTAAAACCGATACAGAGGAGGTTAACTAAACACTCAATCTGGAAATGGTGCTTTCAGCATATAAGAGCAAGCTCCAGGCAGACATAGGGCTGCACTGTGTTTTAGAATTGCTATTGTAGTTAGACTGTGGAATTTGGTACATCGTGCTTACCCCACAGTGAAGAACTGCCTCATCTCTTGCCGCCGTGACCGCATCATCTGCTTGTACTCGCCAATACGGAGTTTTTTTCCATCGATGATGCAAGTTCTCTTAGGTCGTGGTTTGTACTTGTAGTTTGGATACTTCTCTAAATGAAGCTTACTTAGACGAGCTTGTTCCTCATAGTATGGCTGCTTGTCCTGGTTAGACATGGCCTTCCATCGAGAACCTACACAGCAGTTTAAAAACAGTTTTACTTAGAAGGTAATGGAGGAGTTGGGAAGATAGATGAATTGAAAGCAGCAGTGGTACCATTGGTAATCCAAATATTTAGGATAATGACCCACATACTAAGACAATGATTCCGACAGATCCTAGGAAAATAATCAAAGATTTCTGTCCACAAGAGTATAGCTTTCACCCTCCAGATCTGTGGTAGAGTATCCAAGCTTGAAAGAGGGCCAGTGTGGACTTTTATATTCTTTGTGCTGCTGTGCCTTTGCACATTATCTGAGAGGAAGGAAATGCTTGTTCCTCACTGTTTGATAGTAAGGAACAAGCATGTCTCTGATGCAGTAAGTCTACATTGGCATGGATTACAGCACTTTTAAAAGCTCTAATGTATGGACTCCAGTACTGGGGGGACAAGACCCACTTAGTCTCTGCAATTTTTAAAGAGAAACACTCATGATAATGATGGGCAATAAATCCATCTGTAGGCTAAGGTGAGCTGATGTACAGTGATCTACACAACAGTATGCCCTCCATCCTTCAGACACAATCTGATATTTACATACCAGAAATATGTCATACAGGAAGCAGTGCAACTGTGAAGAATTTAACTAAATTTAACTTATCAATGGCAAGCAAAGGACAAAGGTAATCCTGCAAGTTTTTTTAAAAATTCAGTTTAGAGCAACTAACCATTTCCAAAGCGTTAGGATTTTTTTCCCATGAAAAAGAAGCAACGATTCTACAGCCTTTAAACTAGCATAGGTATATCCAACTTAGAAGGTCTTACCCAAAATCTTGCTTATATTAGAGTTGTGCATGTCAGGGAAAGCCTGCAGGATCTTGCGCCGCTCATCTTTGGCCCACACCATGAACGCGTTCATGGGCCGTTTGATGTGGGGCTCGTTGCTGTTTCGTCCTCGAGACTCCCTGAAGACTCGGGCCTCAGTAGATCCAGCGCCTCCTGTTGGCCAACAATAATAGAGTTGGGGTTTATCTGAAGAGCCATTGACTTCCTTGGACCCTGGAATAGCCAGAGCAGGAACAAGAAGAGAGCGAGGCAAGACATTGATTAAATGACGAGCCAAGTTTAAACTCTCCTTCATCTACTGTCATAACTGCTTTCATCATCATCACCAATAATGTTTCAGATGACAGCGGAGCATACAAATCCTCTGAGAGCAACAGACCTCTATATTTAATGGAAAATCTGACTTGACTAGGCTATGTGAACACATGCTCAGTTTTCATTTGAGCATTCTACCACAGATTGTTTTCACGTACATATGCAGAAACTACTCCTTATTTTAAATATTTGTCCCTTTCTCTGTATTACTCTCTTTATATTGAGTTTTAACACACACACAAACAGACCAGGCACATATTGGAGAGAAGAAAGTTTTTTGATTCCCTGTTCCTTTTGGAAAAATTGTTGTTTCTCAATCAGGGCATTCACAATCAGCATAAGAGAGTTTCTCTCAGTATTAAACTGTACATCAGACTGATAATGATTTCTGTTGCATGTGCATTTGCTTCCTTTTATATGTAAGATGTGAAAGAATTAAATAAAAGCAGTATGAATATTTAAACAAACAAAAACATGTTGATAAACAAGGCTTGAAAAATAAGACAAAAAAAGCCTTCCATATGCTACGATACATCTTTAATGATTTCAAATCTGGAAAAGAAAGCTTGGGATGACTCATGCATATTTCATCATCCACATGTGAAGCCTTCTCATTAGACCATTGCACTAGCAGCTTTGGCACATGTTACCTGGGGTTTGATTTCTATTATTATTTCAGTTGATAAACAAAATCAAACTCTTAATGAGTAATCGAGGGCTGTGCAGACATTAATTTCAAATCCAAGAAACCTCATTCTCCTCTTGTTGCTGAGGACATTGCTAAGCCTTTTTTTAGCATCTACAGATTGGTGTCTCCTCCTAAAAAAACACCGCATGTCTTGTTCTCATTAACCACAATTGTTCATTTTAAGCTGTTGTAGATGTCAAGCAACACTTGTATGTTGGGCTGGATGTTGGTTTCAGGTTTATGATCGCGGAGGTCGTAGGAGGTGCAGTTTCCCACAAGTAAACTGTAAACTGACAACTTTCTTTCAGAACATAAGCTACCTCAGAGGTTTGAGTCAAAAGGCCACATTTATGATCCGTGCCTTTTAACAGGGATCCATATTTGCTATTGTCACATTTCACCAGTTGTTGCTCAGAGAGTTTAATTCTTATTCTAGCTTTGGAGATTACAATTGTACACCCATACCATTAGAAGTGTTGTCTTTCTCAGATGATGAGGAATAACGGATAAATGTGTTTAGAAAAAAAGTTAAATCCAAGAGGAAAAAATATTGTCATAGTTTTGGCTTGATTAATCGATTGAAATGCAACAATTTTATTTAGAAAGCCCTGAGCCTCTTACATTTTTTTTTTCAGATCCTAAATATTTTTTCTTTTGTTAATATTTAACTTTCAGTGGAATAGGGTGCATTCCATCGTATAAAATCACAGAGATAATCCAAGATAAATCTTTCCTAAAGTTCTTCAGTAAGAGATGAGAAAATATAGTAAATTGTGTGCTTCAAAACTAAAACGCATATAAATAAATACTTGCACATTTCGTGCTGTCTAAATTACAACATTTAAGAAGTTCCCTCAAACTCTGTGAGCACCATCTCACTCTCTTTGCTTTTGCATCCTGGAATACTACAGGCTTTAAGGTCATTATGAATTCAGAAATAATACACTACCTTTGGTGCCACCAAACCCCACAGTACGTTAATTTCATTTAGCATGCACTCACTGTACAGGATAAATTGATTTCACTTTGTTTGGTTTTGACAACCATGTTTATTGTGCAATGAAATGTGGTGTGGCGGAGGGCTGACAGTATCCATCAACGCGGGGCAATCTGCTGACTGCCGGGGCCAGATGAAGGTATTCATTAGCTCAGGAGCGTAGCGCTCACTCAGACACGACAGCCAGTGTCTGCACCCCGGGATCGCTTGCTGTAATTTACGACGCCTTTCGTGCCATTACTCTATCACTGACACTGATTCAGCAATTTATATACTGGTGTGCATGCGAACGGGCAGAGGTGATCTTCTAATAGGGAGGGGGGCAAAACAACTGCCTGCCATCACCGAGTGCCATATCCATAGTTAGCCAGGAAACCAGCCACGTGACTAGGCTCATTGGAGGGGATCCAGATGAGCCATGGTTTTTTACTTCACATGGTTGCGCACATAGAAAGGAATCTGTCTGCTCTGTCAGATGCTACAGAAAGCTGTAGACTTGAACAACATGGGTATTACATCATATTAGGGTTGTTCTGAGGCAGGTGAAAAGCTTTTGGATGTAGAGAGAAAATACCAGAAATATCAGTTAGAAAGGTCCCCATGGGAAACCAGCAGCCTTGCTCAGACATAAACCTTTGACCTGAAATAACAGTTTGCCTTTATGATAATCTTTCTGATTAGACCATTAACTTTGAAACTAGATGATTGGGAGGGTGGATTTCTAAAATATTAGACCGGGCAAAGTTTCATGTGGATAAATTTGCTGCCCACTTCAGCCTCTGTAATATATATGACCTAATCAGAGCATCCTGTGCGTTAGCCCAGCAAATTTCAGGGAACAGCAACATGCAATCCTCCACGATATTGTCTTCACATTTTTACTGGAAATAATGGCGCTGTTCTGAAATGTTACAAATGAGCATTAACTATTTCTTCCAGGAGGGGCAGGACATTTAGGAAACGAGTTAGTTAGGTGTGTGATTGTGTAAATAAACAGATGTTTAGCGGTGACAGGGCCAGGCCCCCTGGGTGGTAGCTAGGGAGGGAGAGAAACAGAAGGAGTACTGCTTAATAGAATTTATTATGATTCATGAGGCCTGCGGTTCAAGTGTGACAGAGCGATATGAGAATCCCCTTTTAATTTGTTTCTCCTGGAAATACTGCAGATGAGGAGCATGAATTACAGTGTGAAAGAACGATTGTGGATATGTGTGTGGTGGAATACGAAATGAAAAGAAAAAATTAACAAGCAGAAGAAAGGCTGGGAATTAGACAGAGAATACAGTGAGGCCCCAAAGCCAATCGCACCTGTGAGCTGCAGGCTCAGACTCGATTGCGTACCAAGCCAGAGGGCAGCACTGCCCCAGCTGCCCCTGTTCTCTTATTTTTTTCTTCTTTACTCATCTTTGTTCTGTCGTCAGACATATGCTGTCACACAGGAATCCGCTCAAAAGGATGAGCCTCAGTGAACAGACAACAATTACACAAACCTGCCAAGCCCTCCCTGTTGGGATCGAATCTAACACCTTTGACTGAGGCATTTACTCTTGACAATGGAGCTTCTCCCTCGGAGCAGGATCAGGCAAGATTAATGGGAATGGATGGACGGAACACAGCGCTCAGTGGCCCTGCTCTAGCCTGAGTCTCATGGCATGCTAATTAAACCATTATACAAGTGATACATATAATCCCTATTATAACATGTCATAACAGTTTTTTCTCCCTAGTTTAGATTATTTGAATTATATTGGTCCTGTTAATATGCATAACATTTGCATGAATGTATGAACTGGGCACAACTTGTTTTAACTTGCAGGCTGCCTTTTTATTTTCTTCTTTAACTACTTGTATGTATTTAATGGAAATTTGAAGCCTTATCACTCAACAACTTTCTAGCTTCACCGAGATAAATGGGGAAACAGCACAGACAACAAAAAAAAGGGGGGGGGGTTCTCTTGGGGCACAATTTAAGTTTGCCCACCAAAGAAAATAACGTGCTTATTGATTGTTTAGAACTATTCAGTGGTTTTAACTGGGTTTTATAAATCCTCTTTCTGAGCCTCAGCTTCTATGCTTCTTCTAAGGGAAACTCCTCTGCAAAAGTCAAAACTTGGTTCCCACAGTCTTGTAGAGGAGAGAAATCTGTAACATAACAACTCTGAGCTACCAATAAGATACCCATCAGTGATCTGTCATGACAATGTAACACTTCTTTTATCATCTAATGAGGACTTTGTTAAAGACCTTTCTTGAACCGGCATTGATGTTTCTTATTCAGCATCTATAGTAATTCCATTTCCTGCCTCCTAACATCTCCCGACAGCCTCTAGTTTAACTGACTACCTCTGTTTTACGACCACGACATTCTGCCATATTTGAAAAAATGAAGTGCCTGGTTGGCTTAGATTTTTTTGGTATCTAGTTATGTTTGCATCAGAGTTTAGAAATACCAAAAGAAATTAGTTTTATCTTAATCAAAAACTGCAAATTCCCATCTATTCCTATTCCTCTCATTTTCTTTTGGTTGGCTGGGGTCATTTGGACCTTGGTTGTTGTATGCTTTGCAAATATTAGCTCAGGCAACCTAAAGCTTTCTGTGAACTGTGGGAATGACTGATGTTGGTTGTAGTCTCTGCCGGCTCAGTGTGGTTTCTCTGTTGTTGAGGCAAAGCTACTAACACCAAGGGGCTTTCACACCCTATGTATGGAATGGGAGGTACACCCAGTAATTTTCCTTTTCAGGAAACACCAAAGTATATACGGCGTGTTCTGGGGGATAAGAGTGTTAAAGTACAGATGTTTCCAAAGCCGTTTTCCTCCTATTATAAAATGTGCCCTGCGATGGACTGGTGTACTATCCAGGGTGCTCCTTGGCTCTCGCCCATTGTCAGCTAGATAGGCTCCACCCCCCGCAACCCCGTTGGGAAAAAGCGGCATAGAAAATAGATGGATATTATAAATTTTCTCAACAGAAAATTTTTGTAGATTTTTATTTCCTAATTTAACAATGTATGCAAAACTAAGTTAATTAAAAAAATTATAATGATAAATGTGGACTTTTTTGTGAAACTTACTCACTGAGTCACATAAAGAAAAAAAAATTGTATATTGAATGTGTCTATATTACAAGGAATACCAAGGAAGCAAGCACCCATGGGCTCAAGGACAAAATTCTTACATCCATTTTAAAAAGAAAACATGTTCAAAAGAGAATAAACCATTTGTGGCCCACATCTTAAAATCTAGCTTTACCATTTAACTGTATGCATCTTTTTGTTGGATGTACACCACTCATTAATCTGTGGTGTAAAAAAAAATGCTAACTGTGTGGTTTGACTTATGTTAACTGCCCTATGTCCCTGTCTACCCCCCCTGGGAAGAGGACCTCTCCCCTCCTCTGACCTCTGACTGCTCCTAATCCATAACCCACTGGGAACACTGATGTGAGGCGTCTGGCGCTAGTCCTCGCCTCAGCCCTGACCAGGACATAAAAGGACAGGGCTGCCCTGGTGTGCGCGCTGTTTTTGCCTTGACTCCACGGTAGCCACAGAAGGACAGTTCCCACTGGGTGAATGAGCACGGGAATCACATCTGTCCGAGGAGTCAGACGGGTGCGATGGGATCCTCTGCTGCGGCTCACATGGGAAACATGTAAATTAGTCCGCTAAATGCTCCTCTAATTCTGATCCTCAGTGTTGGGTGTGATGTGAACTAGACATGCTTATAAAGACACATTTGCTTTGGAGTTGGTAAACAAATATATATTTTTATGGGAATTTTTTTTTAATTTTTCATTTAATCCAGCCCAATTATGCTTAATTATACTCCTCTAAATCTGCAGGAAGAGCAATGCTTACCTTATGCAAGGGCACTTACAAAGTTGATTGGTGACATTGTCCTGAAAAATATCTATTCCTCTCAATCTTTGAGGGATCAAAAACTAGTCAGAACCACGAAGTGCCATGGAAACTGCCACAAATATTTAGGTCTAACAAAGACCAGTTCAGTGCAATCTTCTTTGCTTCTTTGTAGAAGCCAGCACCACAACAGCAGATGACGCTTTGTCACATTGGTGCAATCAGAATTTACACAGCTGTGCGTGGGACCTCAAACAAGCACAACAGCTTCAGCAGTCAAGTCTGGAAAAAAGCCAGCTTTCTCCTCAGGCACCCTTGTCTTCTGCTCACCTACCTGTGAAAACCTCAGAGCCACGACTCATTTCAATCGGCATTCAACTCCACCCCCAAGTTTCTTTCACACACACTTACATTTTTAGTTTTGACTAGGTAGCAAATTTGATATTTTTAACATTAAGCGCAGAATTTTTAAGATTTAGTAAATCTGCTTTAAATGGAAACATAAAATCATCTCATTTAGAAGTTTGTAATTGAGTTTGAAATACAATGAGAAGAAAAGATTTTGAGTAAAATTGGCTTTACCATCAAGATCCTCAGGCCTAGTGAGGTCGATCACTCTGTGGCCGATCTTTCCCTCCTCTCCCAGTTTGCCGAGGTGGTGGCCGATGCTGTCAAAATGTGCCCTCTCCTACAGAAAAACAAAAAAAACAGTTGGGTAAATGAACAAGCACATGTTCACATTTTTACAATGACAGAAAATTGTAAAAGTAACCCCCATCTGGAATTTGAGCATTGAAGAGGAAAAGAAGTGTCTTTGATAAATACAGGTTGTTTTGAAGGGGCTACTCTTTTGACATGCACATGATGTAGCTTTTTCCTCATCTCTCTATTCAGCAGCAGATATAATGGATGACAGGAGGAAGAGACAGTAAGGGCCAGGGGTGCTGTAAATAGATTTCCAGAAAGATACTTTGTGATCCCAAGCTCACAATGGGGCCATGGCCCTCTTTGCAGCGCTCAGATTTTCCTCTGTAATCTTCTCCTTACAACCTGCCTTCCAGTCTACAGCGCCTAGAGCTCAGCACCCATCATTTATTCAGAGTTCATGCTTTGGAGAACACACCGTGTTTTCCTGTTTGTCATGTTGCTTTGTGCTCAGATTAAACTTGGCACATGTTGTACTTGATGCACAATGAAACCCTGTCATTCAGCACTCTGTGACAATATTAAATGTCATGTCCGTGTGCATTTACAGAATAAAATAACAGCTTTCGGGGGGCCTCTTAATAGTTGCTGCACATTACACTTAATGTATTATGCAAGGGGAGAGTGCCGACTGCTGCTGGCTCCATTGTTGAATGACCTACTTCCTCAGTGAATACACAGGGCATTAGCAAAGGGCTGTCTTCCTCTCTAAAGACTCAACTAGGAGATGGACACTTTGACTCTGCATGATACAAATAATCCCCTCCACCAGCCACCCACCCACCCCTGGTTTTGCCCAGATGACACTAAAAGCAGGCATGTTGCCACCATTCAGAAAAAAAGCATTTGTTTACTCCCAGGGTGTATGTTCAATCTCAGCCAAAGATGCACTGTCTGAGCTGACCTCTGCCTCTTTTCTTTACTCACCATCCAATCACATGCAGTATGAAAGGACACTCAGGTAACGTCCCTATAAAAACTCCCTAGCCACACACTTTGACACCAACTCACACAATAACCCCTTGAATCCTTCCATTGTAATACATTGTGCTTTCTTTTTTTTTTTTCACTCTCTAAGAGGTTATTCAACAAACAAACGGTAATAACATTTATTTTAAAAATCAGCAGATCTAATCATTGTGACAAAAAAATTGTAGTTTATGTCTAAATTTGATTTATGTTTTCCCTGATGAATAGAACCTCATTGACAAGAATAGCCAGAATAAATTACAGTGTTTTCTGATGAAAAGGAGCAAAGAGAAAAATATATTTTTCTCTTTTGTGTGACATTTTTGTTTTGTTTTGTAAGGGGGTTAAAATATGACAAGATGAAGGATCCACATAGTTCAAGTCCATTTGAGGCCTTTCACAGTACTGTGATATTTCTCAAGCTTTTATTTATTCAAGAACAGTTCCTCAAAAGAAAAGACTGCAATTTACCGTCATACTTGAAGGAGTACTCATTATTTATGACCAGCTGAGTTATTCTGATATACAATTAACCACTACCTGCTTATGGCCAGTGATTAGAGGCTGTCTATCTGATGGCCCTTTGCTTACTTAAGTGTTTTCTAATTATGACATATGTGGTGGACCCTGCTGGGCAAGAGGACACTTTGTAAAGACAAGATGGAGTATGGTGCTTTTCAGAGTCACATTTTGTGAAAAGCAACACATGGGCTGACACGAATGCACGCGTACGCAGGGCTCAATTTATCACCAAGCCACATTATTGCTCTTAATGAAAGAAGCCAGCAGCCTGATGACAAAGTGACAGAAGTGTGATTAGCCGGATGGTGCTGCTTCAGATCCTTCTTGGACAGTCCATGAAGAAAACACAGTGTTCAACGGTGCTGTACGTCTGTAATAAAGTAGTCATCCCATCCCTCTTCTGCGCTTCGTTGGGCCCTCTTGATCAATCAAGTCCTTTTATAAACTCATGATCATTAAGCATCATGTTGAGCTGAGAGGGAGAGAGAACAGGGGCCATCCATCAATGAATTTCATTAATAAGTAGAGCAGTGTTGAACTTCTCTCTCAACCACATATGATCAGTGACGATCAGCACATTAGACAGCTTAGAGCAACACTGAACGAAACTCTTGTCTGAGGATTCCTTGTGGATGTTTCACATCATCTCACAGAACATATAGTGAGAGAATTGTGAACATATACATAACATCAATATATTTTTATGCAAGCCAGCACTTTGTATCCTACAATAAGATTGTCTAATTAAACTAAGTATTGCTTTCCTGCTATGCTAATTAGTATCAGACTATCTGCTGTATGCAGCACCACAAATTTTCATAAAATTTTATATACTGAGCTTAATATACTTATTGGTTATAGGTTTGTTAATTTATACCTGTGAGCAAGAAATATAGTGAATGTTAGGGTCATAAATTATCTGTCCTGCGCCAGGGTTTTGTTTTAGGGTTGGAAAGTATTCAGTGAACTAATGCTTCTTTACTGCCCACGCATCAAGTGCTGTGATAAATTAATGGCAGTTTTATTATTTTATAGTGTCATTAAATTTTTACTGATCACTCTGTCACAGAGGAGTAGCAAAGGACATGCAGTATCTGGGGAAGCTAGCCCTACAGCCATGGGAAGGAGGAACGGAATGAAGGGGCAGAAAAAAAAGAGCCCATCAGTTTGTGGTAGATATTAAAAGGTATTTACAATGAGCGGTTTGGGAGGATGCTTGCTGGAAACGAACACTGTTGCACGCTGAAAGAAAAGACACTTAGCCTGAGATCACGTGCAGAAATCAAGGCTGGTTTAACAAAGTAAAGATAAAGGAACAGGAAACAAAAGATGTAGCAGTACACATTATTCCTCTACCAGTCTGACCACAACCACTGGCAAGCTACCGCTCCCTCCTCTAAATGACTTCAGCATGCAGCTTTCCACACCACAAGTAAAATTATAGCGGTGCAGTCTGAGATATGGTTTAAGACCGCCCTTTGCAATCATCTCATCTGTCCTTCCAGTACAGTCTTTTGTCTTTAAAGTTTGGTAAGAGATTATATATTTGCGCAGTTACACACAACCTCAGAAGGCCAGAGAAGCTGTGACTCACAGAGGAGGAGAAAGAAGTAGGATTAGCATAGATAACAGAATCTGTGGAACTTCTTGGGTGAGGTAACCCAAAAGGGCCTTGTCAATGTTGTAAGGAAAGCTTTAATCTGGCTGGCCACAGAACATGTGCCGGAGGCCTTCTGCTCTGCCCACAGGGTGTATTCTGGGTAGAGGCGGGTGGCGGGCAGCCCTGTGTATTGTGCATGCTCCTGCCCTGTATTTAGGCAACACACTGCCAATCCTGACACTCCTTCACTCTTTCCTTTGTAAATAGCTTGGGGCTATGCTGTAGCACTATGGCCTGAGATTTTTCTGATTCAAATACAAAAAAGCTACACTGCCGCGGCTGGAGAATAGTCAATTCAATTTCTTTGGCTTAACTTTTCTATATAATTTTACAGTTTCCACCTATCGTGAAAGCTGATAAAGCACAACAACAAAAACAGTGGTAACCTCATAGAGGTGCTGGAATACTTTCTGTTTATCACCTGTTTTACAGTAACCTCTTTATGCTAATTGAACATAATAAACATAGTTTATGACCAAAAGGGATGAGGTTAACCAGTTTAAACTTGAATGTTTGACCACCAAAATACTATAACAAATGAATGGTCTTGATCTAATTTCTTCTCCCAAATATACGACTCAGTAACTTAGTCATATAATGGATTTAGTATTTTTGTTTTCAAATATATTCAGAAAGTAAAGCGAAATTAATAGCTTTTAATGTTGTACTTTGTGAGATCTTTGAAATTACATGATTTTTATATATGAAGATTTTTTTTAACTGGGGCCTTAAACAGCTGCTGGACCCGAACAGCCACTTGCATTTGATAATGTGCAGAACTGGCTCTTGTTATAACATACACCTGGAATGCAGTAAGTTGGAGGCACTGGTTCAGACCACAAAGCAGGGCTTTGTGTATCAAGTGTCAGTCACCCCTGTGGTCTGGAGCTCTTAAGTGAAGACTCAGAGGGTCTCAGACTAAACCCCAAACAATCTGCCCCAGCCCTGATGGAAACAAAGACTACTTTAACATGGCTACAACTTCTCACAGCTCAGCGCCTATTCTGCTTTATAGTTTTTGTTGAAACTAGTTATTGATACATCTGCAGATTTCCAGTACTTTTGATAGTTTGAACAATTTAAATGTTAAGTACATCCAGCCATGCAAGGAGCCCACAGGTCCTTTCATTCTAGCTATTGCACTCTTTTTATCCATGGCTGCTCCTTTGCTAAGGCTAATGCGTACAGCAACATAATCAACAGTAGCAGCCACAAAGGCTGGCATCTGTTTTAACATCACACAGAGCAAAGACGGAGAGCCATTTCAGTCGCATTTGTTCTGCCAGGGCATCACCTCATTTGTTTAAAACAGAGGTAAAAAACCCTTTAATTAAATTAAGATGTGTACAATATATATATATGTGTGTGTGTGTGTGTGTTCGTGTGTGTGTGTGTGGAGGACTTTTCCGGGCTTTTTGCCAATTTATTTTCCAGTTTGTAGTTTGTTTGTAATAAACGGAGAAACATGTCATCAGTTTAAAGAAACCAACAAATTGTGACCCTCAGTATCACCTGAATAAATAATCTTATTTGTCGCATGTTGCTGTGTTTAGTTTGGGTTTGTCTTTGAGCATTTTCTATAACCCATATACATGTTACTGAATGTAAAATATCACTCCATCAATCCATCTGAAGCACAAGTGTACTTTTTCCCTTGATCATTTGCGATGACATTACATGCTTTTACGAGCTTCAAGTCCTCAATATTACAGAACACTTCAAAGCTTCATCCATGAAATAAAGTTGGGCTAAAGCCTTCAAATTAATCAAACCCTCAGGGGAGCAAACAACGGGATATCAGAAACTAAAGCACCACCAAAAACCCTTTTCAGATCGGGACAAAACCTGAAGTCTCGTTGAACACTGGGAGAATTATGTTCCACTGAGCAACAATACCAGGGACTATAAATGATTCTTTGTGGCCCATTCTTTTCTAATCTTTTGTTACGCATGCTTTGTGGCAAGTGTGACATCACAGGTTTTAGGCAGAAGCCAACAGCATTTCTGGACAAACTACAGCAGACAACATGTTAAAAGACGACTGGAGGAGAAAACGGAGCCGCACTGCCAAATGACCCTACAAAGATGTGGATTTAATGTCTTTCCGAGGAAGAGGTGCGACAGCAAAAGACAGAAGCCCACTGTCACACACTTTATCCAGAGACTTACTTTATTTTTATTCTTTTGGCAAACATGAACAATTGGACATAGCATTAATGTAAGTAATCTTCACAATAGCACTTGCTGGCTACAGTCAGTGTCTGGGAGCTGAACATAATCTAATTTGGATGGGCAAACCCTTGTATGCCAAGGATTTACATTGCAGCCAAAGTGCCTTGGTTTGCAATTTCCAAGACAGCAGCCGAAAGAGAGCAGAAAATTGCTTCCAGGCCTGCAAAGCAGACAAGATTATATTCAAAGTCTTTGTGAGGGCTTTGCCTGAATAGAGGCCTGGCATCACATGTACACACACACACACACACGCACACACACACACACACACACACACACACACACCAACACACAGGGGGGGCAGTATAAGTACTACAACCAATAGGTTAGGAGTCTGCATTTTACGGAGGACAAGTGTAAGCTCCATTTGAATATTTACAGCCTGAGCTTTGGGATACGAGAAATGGACAATTGTTGTCATCAATACTGAGGAAAGAGGGCGTTGTGGGGCAGAAAGGGCAGTTCAATAGGTTAATACACTGACCTTTTCCCCCTTTGATTCCTGTTAGGGACTTGTCAGCAGAAGAATATATTCTATTTCACGCTGCATCGTATGAGATCAAAGAAACCGATGCATTGACACTGCAATATGCCTTCCTGACAAATCTGGGTTAAACAAAATGGCCTGATCGATACTATGGGGATTTTTTTTTTTTTTCCTGAACTGTTACACTGTAAATTTGCTTTATGGTATGAAGGTCTCTTTCTTTTGTTATTGAGACATCACTCAAGCTGAAAATTGGATTAGCACTCTAATACGTGGCAATTTTCTCTGAAAAATTCACTCACTCATTAACAATGAGTTTACACTTTATAGATAATTTTGCATGGAAATGTTTACGTTTTGTTGTATAGTTTAAAAAAAATAGTATCAGAATCTCAACAGCGAATGGAAATGTGTTGCTTAAATGTTACTAAAACTTTTTTTTTTGCTGAGCCGGTGAAAATCTATTAGCAGAAAGCTCTCCATCTCTGACCTGCAGGCTATATATTCTAATAGACCATAAATGTTGATGACAGGGCAGCAACATACTGTAGCTGAATTTCTGCATGCACCCACCAGATGAGTGACAACAACGAGACACAGATGCTTGATATTTATTCATCCGTGACCCTGGAAAACAGTATGTCCAGTTATAGCTGCAGCACATAATAGAGGGAAACAATTCAAATGGTTACAAATGGGCTTAGATGTACTGTTGCGTACATGACTGTAGGCATACTGATGCATTCTAAGTAAAAGCTTCCAGTGGGTGAAGAGAAGATGGTAAATAATGGAACACAGTAATTGCCCTCTGCAGACAATAATACCTTTAGATAAATATTTCAAAAAGGCAAATTGCAGAAAGGTTGTAAAAGGTTTCATTGTACTGTTGGGATGGTTAAAAAAAAGACAAATAAAAAGACAAGCAAGAAAATATGCTTTTGTAAAGCATGAATATTTTACATGTCCTCAGGTTAAAGGCTTGTTGAACTGAATCTGATCTATCCTGTCTTCTCCTGGGTCAGTGTCCAGGAAAAGAGGGAAGGAGAGCTAGTGTCATAGCGATAAAGGTTAGGGATGAATGCATTGTACTGTTCAGATACACTTTGTATGAAAAGATAAATTGATCCATCTGTAGGCAACACTTAGACCCACTCCTCTGCCTGGCCATTACAGTGGCATAAATCAATATTTAATATCCCCTCTTACAGCCACACTGAATGATCTTAACCTCTCCTTAATCCCATTTATGTTACCTTTACAGAATCTTCTTCTTGTAAGCTCTCACTATGATAAACTTCCAAACAAGAGACTGGGAGGGGAGCTATTAAAGACCACGCCATATTTATGTCAGGTGAGGTGCTTTCTTAAAATATTAACATTCTGCCTAAAGTGAAAGCTCTTATCTGGGGTGTTGAGCCTTTCTACTCTGTTGGCTTGTTGTATCAGCAAAAGACTATCTCACCCCTCTCATTTCACAGATGAATTACAACTTACTGTTCTTTATTGCAGTCAAAGGATGGAGATGATGGAGCAATTCTTTTAGCTGACTTGAAGCTTGCCTTTAATTTCCACACACCCTATTAGTAGTGAAACTGAAACCAACACGTGACAATATCTCATTATGATTTGCACAAGCTAGAGAGTACACTAGCTTGAGTCTGATTTTGTAATAAAAATAGAAACAAATTACTTGAAGTGAAGCTGTTTCATTTCTGAGTAAATAGGTCTTCTCAACAGATACAGTAAAAAGTATGTAAGTACTTTATTTTCTTACTCAATTTTTTTGTTGTCAACACTCTGGTTTACACTTGCTAATTATTTCCTATTTCTACTTTTTCCTAATGTATTACTCTTTATTGGTCACTTCATGTTTTCTCTCTACTGTATGCTATTTTACCCCCTTAAACATTCAAGCTCAAAGACACAAAAACACTTGAAGTTTCACTCTTCAACCACAAACAGGTAGATTACAGGTGAAGAGTACCTAACTCAGTCAAGCATATTTCTTTAGAAATGCAAAAAGGGCATTATTTTCCTCAAAGTTGATAGGCGGAACACTGACTGAATAAAGGTCCAGAATTCACATAAAACAAACAAAGTTTCACAAAAGACTAAGCAATGAGTAAAAATGAGCTAAGCTCTACTTATTAGGGACAATGAGGCTGTAGGCTTGCTGCATATGGAAAGTTGCATTAACAACCCCTTTCACATCATGGCAGACCTGACTGCTTGGCTGACCACAGACACACCTTAGCTGAGATACGAGGAGGCAGCTGTACCTATTCCTGAACCTGACAATGCTTGCATTCTCATACCATAAAGCTTGTTTCATGTGTCGTGAGACAACACAAAAGAAAAAGCGCTTGGAATTTATTTTTGAAAAAGGTCACGTGGCTGTTTAATTTCAGAAACATTTATCTGTCAGCATGATAATGTGAATATGTAAAGCCCTTTTTGGGGGACTTTTGATGGTAAGAGCAAGAGCTTCATCTGTGTCCTCTCACTGAGCTGCAATAACTCATTTACTTCTCTTGAGTAAGGGCTCAGTTGACTGCCACCTGGAAAGGCAGTTATCTCTTCCAAACATCCAATCAGAGGGAAATCAAAACAGATATTCATTGACTTTTTTACATATACATTGACCTAGTTGAGGGTGTTGGTTGAAAGTGTCAGGTGCTGAAATATTAATGAGCATCGCTCCCAGTTTCTGCCTGCTCCTCACAGCCAACTGGCAACATGGCATCAAGCTGAAGAGAGGAGGACAGCTTTTTTCTTTCCTTGATTGACTCATCGATTGAAGATATTTTTAAAGGGAATCCCTGGGAGTGTGCGCTCCTGGTACAAAGCAGCCCCATCCTGTGTCAGGGGACGGAGAGGACTGCAAGTTGGCTTTAATTGGGCAGACTTCAGAGTCTTCTTAACCCACACCGGGCACTGCCATGGCCTGTTACGGCCCTCACACCAGCATCAACAACGCAGAGGCCTCCAAACATGCACACACAAACATATTCTTGCTAATTTGAGTAATTATACATGTGCATGCTAAATTATGCCAGCTCTTATCAATACGACCACCCTGGACGTGGATTAAAGAAAATTATTAGCCTTAAGAGTTATTGCTGTTTTAAAATGTTCCACTTTCATGAATACTTTCTCTCCTTCACTTTTTGCTTGGAGAGCTGAACATTCTTGTGGTCAACTGCTCATTTCTCGCCTTGTGGAAAAATCATGCAATGGAGAAGACTTGAATGGGGAATAAGACAAGCCGTAAGGATTCTAGTTTTCGAGTTCTAACCTTGTCTGCCCGGCAGTTGTTGAGGCCGACTGAACTGATGCCCTGCTGGTGGTGTTGTAGCTGCTCCCTCTGGATCTGCTCCCTCATTTTCCGAGCCTCCTGGATGGCCTTCATCACTGTGTCCTGGTCCCCGAACAGGGCAGTCGAGTTTAAGCTTGACAGAATATCTAGATGCAAAAACAACAAGTTGTGTTCAACATACAGAGCCAGGAAAGTTGTGTATTTGTGACATGTGCTTTATCATGTTACGTGGCTTTGAAATGTTCTACTGATGCATGTGAGTAAGTACACTGAAGTCTTACCAAGAGATGAGCCTCGGCCCAGGCCTCCTCCAAGTGGGCTTGGGATGCCACCCTTGCCAAGAAGACTATTGGGACTGTTTTTACTCCCAGGGAACAAGTTTTGTGTCGGGGATGTGGGAGATTTGACCATTTCATTCGTCTTTGGCCGAGCAGACAGGTTGAGGGGCTGTGTTCCCTCCTCCTATGAAGCAGAGATGGGAGTATGAAAGAGGACAGATGTGAATGGGCCCCCCTCCCTTTCCTGGAGCGGCTCCGGATTCCCAGACAGCACAGTTCTCCTCTGTTTCTGGTTAATTATAGGATCCCTATCTGGACCCACACCTCCTCCTTGATTCCTCCTATTTCTGCTTTTCTCCCCTGCTGTCCTCTTCTCTTCTTTCTTCTCTTCTTTACTCTACTCCTCTGCGATCATCCTCACAGTTGCCCAGCGCCTTTGTTCGCACTAATTAAAGCAGATTCTGTCTCTCTGTACATCTTCATCTGTTCTGCCTCTCCTCCTCCCTGCTCTCTGTGTCTGCACTCTGGTTCGAAGAATAAATAATGACCAGATAACGGCGGTGGCAATGATCAAAGACAGCTGTTCCATTCATCAGATGTCGACTTACATTATCTACTTCATTAACTTGTTTTCTAATTTCATTCCTCATTTGTGCATACTTGGTTTTATCATATGCTTTGATATGCCTATTTAAAAAAAAAAGTGCAATGTGGCTCTAAGATGAGGTCAAAGGAGGATGTAATTGTTTGGAGTTACATTTGCTGGGCCAATTCTTCTTTGAGATGCAGAGTATTTTTTCTTTCAACCTGCCATCTATCTATCTATCTATCTATCTATCTATCTATCTATCTATCTATC